TGGAAAAAGCTCATTTCTGCTGCTTGTATCCATGATCTCATTCTTCTGGTCACTACCTAAAACTTGTGGATAGGTGAGGGCAAGATCATCTTTACTACTGCTGCACCAATCTGCCACTTCCTCCCCACCTTGAACTCCAACCAGGGTGGGCACTCCACTTTGTTCCAGCTGAGAACCGTGGGCTCACTCTCATTTTAGTGTCCGTTTATTTCTGTTAACATAAACGGAAAAAGCACTTTATGATTTTAAAGGTGATCTGCGGAGTACTGATGCCCTCGCAATAATTTTGTTATCAAATCCTGTAAATTCTGCAGCTCAAAGATTAAAATGTCAATCAGAAAAGGACATCCTGTGTTGTCATCAGTGATGTCACTGGTGATGTCACGCCAGATAGTCAGCCGGCAGTCGAAAGATAAATTTAGGGTAATCTGGGATAGGAGTGCGTCGACACACCACAGCGCTCACAGATACAGATACACTTTTTAATCTCAGTGTTGCTTTTTCTTTTTCTCTCACGCACTCACACAAACACACACAGTCTTTCTGTGCAGATACTACAGTATGCACACTACAGTGTACTCTGTACACTAATCCTCAGTATTCTATATACCTGTCCCAGATCATGTCAAGTAATCTCTGGCTGCATGCAGACGGACAGAGCGGGGACACGGGCTCTAAAGCTTGGATTAGACAAACACACATACACACACGAGTAAACCCTGCAAACACACCAGGGGTTTTACTCGTCCACAAATCGTTCAAAGTAGGCTAATCGTGGCCTCAGAAGCGCTGTTATGTTTTTCACGTGGTCAGAAACAGCATTTGTTACACTCACGGGGTGCCGGCTGCAATAAAAGAACATCAAATCATCCAGTGTGCTTTTCTGCTTTCAGTGATTTAATAAAAAAAGACTACACAAAGCAGACAAAGACGAATGCAGTGCAAAAACGCTGTTGGTGAATTTCACTAATAATAAATGCTGTGTTTGAAACACAGTCTGCAAAGGTTTAGATATCTGACAAAGATGCAAATGCAGGTTACTGTGACACCAGAGACAAAAGTGCCCAAAAATAATACTTCACTTCATTTTGATTTTATCAGAAAAACTCGTTTTAGTGACCCTGAGCAGTCTAAGGAGACAAAACACAGGCAACTTTCAGCTCTTCTTGTTTTCACCTCATTTCTTTTCTAAATGCAGCAAATTTTCTTGTCTTTTGACCTTCGAGTGACTGAGTGTGATCACTTATTTATTCACACGTGGCCCTGTAATGTTTTTAATTGTGAAACTGGGAAATTCGTGGTGTGAGACAATCTGTTTCTCCTGAAACTTTGGCCTGTGAGGGATCATTTATTTCCCAGCATGACCTTTGGTTTTAATGTCATTTATTGGTAATTAATCAGGCGTCTCATATTAACAGTTATATCTTTCAGATCTAAATATTTTAAGTGTGTCTTGAGAAATTGTTTCAATTATCACACATCTACAGTCTTGATGTACGAAGGAAAGTCAAATGAGGGACCGTGTCGAGTGATATAACACAAACATTATAAAAAAATTATTGTGGCTGATCAAAAGTCTCAAATGAAATACAAAAGTCCAACCAGAACCAGAATCAAAAGAACACTGAATATGCAGAAAAACCAAACAGGAACAAAGCAGCAAACACAGACAGCAACATAACAGATGCTTTGATAAAAGACAAAGAGAAGATGAATTGATTGATGAGCCTTTCTGGAACTAAAACCTCACTGTTGCTCATCTGAACTCAGACTTTCTTGAGAAGCGATGCAAAGAAACCAAAATACAAAGACAAAAGACAGAGTGAGGAACAGAGAGGAAAACACTGAGGGAACCAAGGCTACAGCAAAGAATAAAAACCAAAGCCTTAATGTAAAAACAGTAAAATACTGTAGCTTCACTGTAGGTGAGCTTCCTCCAGCTCATCTATTAGGGGTGGGGGGAAAAATCGATACTGTGTAGTAT